TTTGATAAGTCTCTTCTTTTGTAAATAGCAAAAAGAAATCTTAGGAGATCAAATACTAAGCAATTTTCAAAGGAAATTTTAAGTCATGAATTTTGAGAAATTAAGAGAAAAATCATGATTCAACTATTCTCTTTAACAAAGGAAAAGGAAATATAGGAGAATAAGAATCTTGATTCATAAAAGATATCAAGTATTAAATTTTGAGAAATCAAGAATTTAACATACCTAAGTTTAATATTAAAGCTAGCACTTTTTTGCTTTCTTTTGCATCAATGTTCTAATCATAATATAAATATAAAGGAGTCATATGAAAATCATAATATAAAAGTTATTAATATGAAAGATCAAGAAGGGTCAATTCATGAATACCAAAAGACATGATTCATTTTGACAAATCTCCTTTTTAGTGAAAGAGTGAATAAAAAAATAATTTATAAAAAAAAATTTAATTTATAATTCTGAGAAATCAAAAGAGAAATCATGATTCATTTAGATAATTCTCTTTAATAAAATGAAAGAATCATAGTGAACGATCTTGATTTATATAAAAATCTCAAGTTATAATTATCAAGATATCAAGATCGTGATTTGGATAATAACTCATTCAAATTTATACCATCAAAATCACTTTCATAGTTCAAGAGATTCAAAAACTAATAATATACATGGATTGAAAAACTTGATAAGTTTTAGAAATAAAGACATTTTTCAAAAGAGATGCATTCCCATTTTTATGTGTTTTAATTTATGTGATTTATTTCATACAAGTATGTATTTATCTTTTATGCCAAGTAAAAACATGCATCAACATTTAAAAACCGAAAAACAAGCTTCATCATGAAAATCATCAAGATAAACATTTAAGCATTCATAGAATTATTTTTATTTGGTATGCAAGCATTAGATTCAAATTTATATCACTTATTACACAAATACTTAATGAGTTATGTCTACTAACGTAGCATCTTCAAACAAAAGATTCGATTTGTTAATAATCATTTTAATTCCAATGATCTTTTTTTTTATTATTGTTTATTATAGTAATACATTTTCCTTCTTTAGTGAATCTAACTCATTACATTTAGTGTAAGGAGTTAACATGCAATTGTCATACTCATTTTTTATTTTTCAAAATCACTAGAAACATAAGCATGCTTTTCTTTTTATATTTTTTATTTCTTACTAACTAATTTAAAAATAACTCATGAAATGCATCAAGTAATTTCATAGTAAGATAAATGAGTTTTGGTTGAGTCCCTTACCTTGTTGTTGAAGGCCACCAAAGCGTAGTTCGCCACCTTGTATTTGTTAGTTTGCTCGTCGTCTTTAGACGTACTCGTTTCGTCCCATATTGCCTTGAGTGTCTTCTTCTTCTTTTGTACAATCATATTCTTATTTAGTTGAGGACATTCACTTTGAAGTACTCCGACCGATTACATTCATAGCAAGTTATTTTATTCTTTTTAAGTTTATTTTTATTCTTTTATTCATGTTTTATAAGCTTTTTAAATTTTATTATGAGGAGTTCAAGGTCATCATGATCATGATCATTATCACTTTAGTTTTCTCTCAAGTGGTCTTTTATTGTTTGAAGTTCAAATCCTTTTTGTTCTTTGGAAGGTTATTCTCATGTTTGTCTTGTGCCATACAACTCATTTTATAGGTCATTAAAGACCCGATAAGTTCTTCAAGCTGAAAATTATTTAGGATCTTTTCTTCTTGAATATCAATTACTTTGGGATCCCAACTTTTTGGAATGGAACTTAGAATCTTGTTTACAAGTTCAATATTAGAAAAACTTTTATCAAGTACTTTTAAACCATTGACGACATCCGTAAAATGTGTGTACATGTCTCCAATTATTTCGCTTAGTTCTATTTGAAACAATTCAAAACTATATATCAAAAGATTAATTTTAGGATCTTTAACTCTACTAGTGCCTTCATATGTGATTTCAAGAGTATACCAAATGTCATGTGTAGTTTCACAAATAGAAACCCGATTAAATTTATTTTTATCTAGAACACAAAACAAAGCGTTCATCGCTTTAACATTTAAAGAAAAGTCTTCTTCTCTAAATCATTCCATTCGTTTATTGGTTTGAAAAACTTTTCAAAACTGCTTTCAACAATGTTCCATAAATTGAAATTGATAGAAAGCAAGAAAACTCTCATTCGAGTTTTCTAATATGTATAGTCCATCCCATTGAACATAGGAGGACGAACGATAAGTGACCCTCTTAAATACCTAAAAAAGTCATCTTTCTTGGGTTTTAAACTAAATAGAGAGTAACCTTGTTCTGATACCAACTATTAGGATCAAGTCGGTACTAAGAGGGGGGGGGGGGGGTGAATTAGTACTTTCATAAAAATACATCAGTTTGAAAATTTCATTCGATGAAATCATATTATAAAGACATTTAAACTTAAAACATTTGAAAGAGTAGTAATGAGCAGATAAAGCAACTGCAAAATAAGTAAACAAGTAGAGAAAAAGAAACACACCAATTTTATAGTGGTTTAGTCGTCGTGACCTACTATATCCACCCCTGATTCATTTGAATCCCTGGGATTTTGGGGTACTGGTGGTATCATCGCCAAATCTAGTGGCACCACCACCTAACACAATCTTGAAGACTGTGTTTGGGCGGTACTATTTGTCATGACCCGGGTTTGATGAGCCAACTGATCAATAACTCCATTTTGGTCATTCAACCACAGACGAAAATGCTTAAACGAAAATTAATATAGTACACTCATTAGGCCCATATAAGCCAATCATACTCATTGCCCACTTCCGATGTGGGACTAATGAGATGTTATACCATCGCTAGACCTCGCTATAGGATATTGAATGAACCAAATAATAGGCCCAATTCAACCTTGATTCAGGCCAATTGGCCCATAATTGAGTTGACATTATTTCTCTCTAATACCGACTTAATTAGACATAAAACTACTTCAATCTAGATAATTATTACAAAGCATTAATCATATGTTGTCCAATATGTCATTTATTCATCTAGCACTTTGTCCAACCCTTCGGTGCATCATTCTCTCATTCCGCATATTGCCCAATCAATATATTGTCTTCCTGCAATATCCGATCTCCTTGGCGTAATATTCGATCTTCTTGGCTCGATGCTCGAACTCATGGCATAAAGTCTTTTGCCGACACATCGACCGATCCTTCGGCTCGACGTCCAATCTTTTGATATGTTCTACTCCAGTCCAACATTGATTATTCATGCTTTAATTAAATTATCTCTCCATGATCGAAGCTAGTCCTGCATCACTCAAAATGTATATTAGATCATAAGCTTATCAATTGATTTTATCATTAAAATTTAAGATTTAACATGTGATGCTCCCCAAGGTTTTCCAATAAAATCCGTTATGATGGAGGCATAGGCCAAATATGCCCAAGGCGTATGATTCAGAAAACCCGACCGATGTCGAGATAAATCTAATATAATTAAGGCATGAGACCAAATGTGCCAGAAGTGTATGAGTTGGAAAACCTAATTGACACCAAGGTAAATCCGCTATCCACTATAGTAGAGGCACAAGACTAATGTACCTAATGTGTGTGAGTCAGGAAACCTAATGGTTATTAAGGTAAATATGTTACGGTAAAGGCACAAGCCAAATATGCTTAAGGCACGTGAGACAGGAAACCCGATCGATGCCAAGGTAAATCTCTACTATAGTGAAGGCATAAGACCAAATATGCCTGAGGTGTATGAGTCGAGAAAACCAACCGGCACCAAGATGAATCCATTATGACAAAGGCATAAGATCAAAATTGCCCAATATATGCAAATCATGAAACTCGACTAACGTCGAGGTAAATCCGCTACGACGGAGGCACAAAGCCAAATGTGCCCAAGACGCACGAGTTAAGGAAAAACCTGACCCACCAAAAGGCATTCGCTATAGTAGAAACACAAGCTCAATATACCTGAGACACCTGAATCGAAAAAACTCAACCCGTAGGATAAGATCCCAAACGCTCCTATTTCAAAAAAATCGAATGATGCATTTGAATCCTTCTCGTAAGTACACCTTCAATGAAGATAAATGATAGAGAATCTATCATCAACTGACACGTGGTTGTTATGAGAGATATAAGTCATCCTCCATCCATATAATATATAAAGATTCGAAGCAAAAACATAAGCTTCCTTCTCATTGATTATGGCAAGGAAGACAATCCTAAACTCCATTCTCTTCCTTTATGACAAGGAAGGCCATCACAAACTTTCTTCTCCTTTTTCATAATATAAAAATACATTCTAAACAAGGAAATAGGGAAGCTATCACCTTTCTTTAATTACTCAGAATCCATCTTTAGAGATTTTGGATTACTAACTAGAGCGTCGGAGGGACCAGGTTGGGAAACCTCCTCCAACTTTGGTTTTTGGAGCATAGGACTTCCACCTCGGGAGAGTAGTACTTCCACCTCGGAAGCATAGTACTTCTACCTCGGGAGTACAATACTTTCACTTTGGGAGCACGACGTTACCATCTCAAAGATACTTTGGATAATCCTATACACACAAGTTCAAACCATGTCAGGTTGACCAAGACGTCAATGATATTTTTTCCTAATAGGAGCAATGTTTCTTCGTACTTTGATTGTTCTAATAAATTCACATTCAACCCAAATCCAACGAAAGAGCTTATCATAAGTTTCTTAACGTGGAGAAGATAATTAAAGAAAGACATTCTTTTTTATCATCCATTAAGTTACGAATCAAATCTAATATAATTAAATTGATTTTTTAATTTTTACCAATATAGTGGGACTAATCTTATGTTATTTTTTTATATATTTTGGATCGTAACCTCACATATGATTATGATTGTTCCCCTTTTAGCTCTTTTAAGATCTCTCAATAATACCTTTACATTCTACATGTTTTGCATTAGGCGTTCTCGTATGGTGGGATTAAGCTATACCATGTCCGATATCCCTTTACTCGTAGAAGAAGATTTGGGATGATGGGATCCATGAAATTCCCTTATAAACGGAAAAATCACGACATCTCCCCTATGTTAGCATATATGGATTGCATCAATTTTAGTCCCCTTCCTGATTGGAACAAAGATACGGTGATAAATATCACCTTATATTCCATTCCTCAATATTCCCCTCAAGTCCAAACCCAATTCTATACTGGATTTTACCGCCAAGACGCCATCGAAGTTGGATTCGTTGACTTCAACGTTCCAGCAAACCCCTTTACCTGACTCCGCGACGGCGGTGACGTTTGCTGATTGGCTGCTGCCGTCACGGCGGCTGGCTCGCATCCACTGTGTTGGAGCCACATGGTTTTAGAATACATTACCCTTGGCGGCTACAAGTACGGTCTTCGTGACTCGTGATAGGTGGTGATGGCGGAAATGTGCAGTGTGGAGAAGCGTGGGCGGGTGTACCTCCTCACCCTCGCCGGCACCGACGAGCACCGCCTCAACCCCGCCCTCCTCGACGCCATCCGCTCCGCCCTCGCCGGCGTCCGCTCAGACGCCGCGGCGTCGGGCGGATCCGCCGCCCTCGTCGTCGCCGCCGAGGGCAAGTTCTTCTCCAACGGCTTCGACCTCGCCTGGGCCAGGGTCTCCCCCTCCGACCGCGTCCCGCTGATGGTCCCCGCTCTGCAACGCACCATCGCCGACCTCCTCTCCCTCCCCATGCCCACCATCGCCGCCGTCACCGGCCACGCCGCCGCCGCCGGGTGCTTCCTCGTGCTGAGCCACGACTATGTGGTCATGCGGGCCGACCGGGGGTTCCTCTACATGAGCGAGATCGACATCGGGTTGCCGATCACGGAGAACATCATGGCCGTGATGAGGGCCAAGATCGCCGACCCGAGGACGCGCCGGGACTTGCTGCTGCGGGGGAAGAGGATGACGGCGGCGGAAGCGGCGGCGAGGGGGATCGTCGATCGGGCGGTGGAAGGGGCTGCGGAGACGGTGGAGGCGGCGGTGGCGATGGGGGAGGAACTGGCGGCCAGGAATTGGGACGGCGAGGTGTACGCCTCGATAAGGAAGGGGGTGTTTCGTGAGGCATGCAGAGGGATCGGGGTAGCTGTGGAGGAAGAGGAGGCGGAGATGAAGAAGGCAGCCTCCAAGCTCTGAATCCGTTGACCGGGTAAGCGACTGTGTTATAAGCATGGAATAATGAATGATTGAGCTGTTGATCTGATATGGTCAAATGCAACTGTGATGACCGGGAAGGAACCTATTTACGTTTTGCTTCCCAAATCTCTGCGCTGTTTGCTGCATAATATTTGCCTTTTCCTGGCCCTCTATGTTGCAGTGGTGTTGCTGAATTCAACATGTGGAATGATGAAATCAATTGATAATTATATTTATATTTTAATCTATGTTTTGAGTGACACAGGATGCTTCGATTAGGATGAGACAATTAAAACAAGAAAAATCATGTTGGGCCGGAGGAACATGTCAGAAGATTGGACATCGGGCCGATGGATCGGTCGACGTATCGACAGAAGGCTTCGGGCCATGGATTCAAGCATTGGGCCAAGAAGAGCGAATATTACGCCAAGGATATCGGAGTTGCGGAGTCAACTGGTCGATTGGGCAATAGGCCGTATGAGAGGACGATGCACCGAAGAATTGGACGAAGCGTCGAGAGACCAATGAGACAACTTGATTAATGCTTAGTATTAATTGTCTAGATCGAAGTTTATTTTACATGTGCAGAATTAACTACGTTAGCAAGGCATGAAGCAAAATGAAGTTCCGAAGTCAAGGACGTGATCACATTGGGAGTTCGAGAGTTCGTCAGAAGTCCGGACGTTCGTCGGAAGTTCTGGAGGAACCAGCCGAGAAGTCTCGGAGCTTGCCAGAGAAGCTCGTCGGAACTCGCCTTGTGAAGTCCAAGAGCTTGCTGGGAGTTCGTCAGAACATTACCGAGAGATTGTCGGAAGTTCGCCGAAAGAATAGACTTACGGACTTTGTTTAGCTTAGAATATGTCTTAGGAATCGTAATTAGCACGTAATTGGGCTTGGATTGGGCCAACCCAATTACGAGCCAGCTAGGCCCATGTAAGAACTGTGTTGGGCCCAATAAGAAGCCTAAACAGTGCCCTAAGAAGTCTCATCGTCGTAGCATAGTCTTTGAGACTGTGTTAGGCAATGGTACTGCCAGTCTGGGTAGTGGTACCGTCCAGCACTACCCTCCAAGCGGTGGTACCGCCAAACCTGAGTGGTGGTACCGCCCAATGCAGGCGGTGATATTGCCCGTGCCCAGGGAACTCTGGATGAGATGTTTTTAGGCTCCAAGTTTGAATCAACTTGAAGCCTATAAATACCCCTCTCATCTCTGGTTAAAGCACATAAGCACAGAGAGTTTAAAAGCAAAGAAACGCGGTAGAAATCCCTTGTGAGAATCCTCCTCAAGTTTTAAGTGTTAGAATTATGTAAGAGGAGTATAAGTGCTTGTAAGGGTTATCTCTTAAACCCAGTAAAAGGAGAAGAGGGGTGTAAGAAGAAGTTGATCTTCGCCTATTGAAGGAAGACCTCTAATAGACATCGGTGACCTCATCGGAGGAGGAAGCCAAAAGTGGATGTAGGTCAAGATTGACTGAACCACTCTAAATCTCAGTTTGCATTTAGTGCTCTTGATCATAACAATTGGTATCAAAGCCACAGTTTTCTAATTTGGTTTAGCACCCAAATAGAAATGACTCATTTCGGTTTTCAAGAGGGTCAATCTCTCATTTATCCTCCCTTCTTCAATGGGACGGACTACACTTATTGGAAAACTCGAATGAGAGTTTTCTTGCTTTCATTGAATCTTGATTTATGACACATAGTGAAAAACGAAATTGAAATGTCTTCACTTCCAATAAACCATTGGAATGATTTGGAGAAGAAGACATTTTCTCGAAATTCAAAGGCTATGAATACCTTATTTTGTGCCTTAGATAAAAATGAATTCAATCTAGTTTCTTTGTGCGAAACTGCTTTTGACATATGGCACACTCTTGAAATCACACACGAAGGCACAAGTAGTGTAAAAGATTCTAAAGTAAATTTTTTAATACACGATTTTGAACTTTTTCGAATGAAGCCAAGCGAAACCATTGTTGATAGATACACCCGTTTTACGTTTTATGGATGTCGTCAATTGTTTAAGAGCTCTTGGCAAATATTTTTTGGATTTTGAACTCATAAATAAGATTTTGCGTTCTCTTAATAAAACTTGGGACTCTAAAGTAACGACCATATAAGAGGCCAATGATTTGAACCATTTTTCACTCGAAGAACTAATAGGGTCCTTAATGACCTATGAAATGGCATGTAATGCACGTAAAGAACTTGAGAACCACCTTCCAAAGTACAAGAAGGATTTTGAACTTAGAACATTTGAAGACCACTCGAGTATAAGCTCAAGTGATGGTGAACATGAACTCCTCACTAAGAAATTTAAAAAGTCAATGAAATAAAAACTTATAAACAAAGGGAATGGAACTACTTGTTGCTTTGAACACAAGAAGAATAAAAATTGGGATGAATCGAGTTCCTCTAAAGATGTGGAGAAAATCAAGAAAGGCGAGGTGGCAAACTACGCTTTAACGACATTCAACGATGAGGTAATCGAAACCACCTTAATTTATTTTAAAATTACTTGATGTTTTCCATAATGCATTTTTATTTAGTTTAAGAAAGTTAAATATTCTTAAAAATTACATGTTTAATAAAAAAATATAAAAATCATGATCATGCTAGTAATTTCAAAAATGATAATAAAAATTACATGCTTAATAAAAAATTGATTTTGATTAAAAATGCCTTATGAAATCATGCTATATGTGGTTAAGAAGTAATAATGTGTATCATGTTATTTTCCATTGTTATTTCTCGATTTTGATTAAATGAAATCATGTTTGATTTGAAGTAATGCATAATGATGGAATTAAAATATTAAATATTTTGATACTATGATTGACGATTTTATGCATGAGATTTTAAAGTTATATATGATGATTTTTATGATTTATTGGTATTGATGGTTTTTATGATGAAATTCATTTTTTGATCCTAAACGTTGATGCATATTTTTATTTGGCATAAAAGAAAAGAACATGCATGTATAAAATAAATCACGTGAATTAAAATAACTAAAAAGTGGAAAGGTTTCTCCTTGAAAAATTTATTTTTTTGACTTTATCAATTTTTCCAAAAAGGAGATTAATGAATCTATTTATATCATCTTTATGAATCTCTTGAACCATGAAATTGATTTTGATGGTTTGAATTTAATGGGTTTTATCGAAATCACGATCTTGATTTCTCAAGATTTATTACATGAAATCTTTTATATGAATCAAGATTTTTCATGATCTCCTAAGAATTCTTTACATTATTTATTTAAGGAGATATGTCAAAATGAATCATGTCTTTTGGTTTTCGTATAATCTCATCTTTCATGACATAATTTTCTGTCTTTGTATATCTCCTTGTATTCATCACCTAATTAATTTTCTGTCTTTGTATAACTCCTTGTATTCATCAGCCAAACCTAT